TCTAATGTAACACTGCATAAGTTGAATATTATAATATATATATATATATATATATATATATATATATATATATATATATATATATATATATATATATATTCAATTCATAGATATAGATATAGATATATATATATGAACAATGGACACAGAGAGAGAAGCTTACATTTTGTTTTGGTTGAATGATTACCATGAATAGAAGTAGGATAAGAGTAAGCAGAATGTAATTCATGTGTATATTTGCGTGTGTGCGTACATGTATATATCCCAGTGACGGGAAACAAAGATCACTTATTCAACTTCAACGGGAGAACAAAGATTCAAGCCGGGCGCTTCACCTTATTCCTTACCAGATCGAAACTGTTTGCTTCCTTTTTTATGGAAGAGCATAAGAGTTTACCGGTGAACCGGAAGTAATCCGTGATTGGACTATAAATTATAGCTGAGGGATGACACACAAGTCGATACCTGATCAGTATCGGCTGTGTCACCGTAGAGAGGAAGTATGATGTTGAAAGACCCGAAACCCCTAATGAACCTCGGCTAGAAACATCACTGATGATGTATGCAAAGCATCAAATAAAGGTATTTTACGAATATATATATATATATATATATGTGTGTGTGTGTGTGTGTATTTGTGAGTGTGTGTGTGTCTGTGTCTGTGTCTGTGTCTGTGTATGTGTGTGTGTGTGTGTAACATAGGATATAGAATCCCGACAAAGCTTTAATAAAATTTGACAAAGGGAAAACAGTTTCATTGAAACTAGATTTAGTTACACGTGTCGCCTTTGTAGACTTCATCAGATCCAAAAACGAAAGAATTAATTATTTGTGTATATACTTAAACAATAGATTATTAGTAATTTTTCCAGCTAAGCTGGCGTTTATCGTGATGAAAAAAAAAAAAGAATGGAAATGAATATTTTTTTTTCAAAAGCCGTTAATTTTTATTCTGTATCTTTTCTTTAGAATTCTTACTTCATATCAAAATGTATTAATACATTCGCCCAGCTTTTTTGAATTTAATTTAACGTGAATCCTAAACCTATTTTCAGAATGGCTCGAAGGCAAGATATATATATATATATATATATATATATATATATATATATATATATATAGAGAGAGAGAGAGAGAGAGAGAGAGATAGAAGATAGAAAGAAAGAAAGAAAGAAAATGAGAGAGGTGGAAAGGAATGCAAAAGAGTAGAGAATTTAATTATAATGTAACTTAAAATTTATATAATTCTAAACAACGTATTACTATTAAAAGTGTAGAAAGAATCTCATTGCATAAAAATTAAATAATTTTTTCTTCCCGGCAAGTTATGGAATGTTAAATCCGAGTGGCCAATTGTAGAAAATAATCGTCAAAAGAACGGCGGCCTTATTATTTGTGGCATCAAAATGTAATCGCCGTCTTAATGGACTTTATCGTTTTCATCGCCGTAGTGAGGACGGCGACAGTGATTGGCTCCCTTGAAAATCCATTAAGTCATATCCGTTTGTCGTTTGATTTCAAACGATAAACTTCTATCAACCGGACGTTAGTCTCTATTCGTTCTTTGCTCAAATCATGCATAAACAGATCCTATCAAGTGCTGCTAAAAATGAAAGACAAAATATATAGATAAATGGCGAACGAAAACAAGGGCCAAGATTTTATTCTTTTAGGTCTTTTTTTTATTTCTTTTCTATAATGGATATTTTTACGGCGAAGCCACGTGATGGAGATAATGAAGTCATCTCTTTTTATTTTCATTCAGTCTTTCAGAATATATATATATATATATATATATATATATATATATATATATATATATATGCCTCATGCCTCATGCCTCTGCTATCGGTGAACATCTATTAAATTCTGGTGTTTGTAGGACTGAGTATTCTCCCCATTTCTTTTCGGTATTGCATTGGGTTAGGAACAGACTCCACCTCGACATTTTGGAGTCTGTTATTATCAACATACGTAGGCCGGCCCTCTGCGTACAACGGGAGATGAAGTTTGTTGGCCTTATTTGGGGAACGGTTACATGATTTGAGGTAAAATAAATTTTTTTCCCTTACCATCCTGTTTTATTTTGGTATTAATAAAAAAATTTTCTTGTTAATACTCCGTTTTAGATTACCGACGATTGTGTTTGAAAATGTGTCGGTCGAAAGGTACTTTTACATTTTATGTTTTAAACGTGGATATTGTTGTATGTTATGTTTTATGATCCCATATTTTTATTCCTCAAATATATATATATATATATATATATATATATATATATATATATGTACCTCAATAATATATATATATATATATATATATATATATGGAGAGAGTGAGTACATTTAGATAGATAGATATGTACAGGTAGATGTATATGTAGACACAAATATATGTGGAGAATCGGAATATATTAATATATATAAATAATAAAAATACACACACACACATATAAGTAAGTATTTATTTAAAATTTAGTATCTGTTTAATAATGATTTATTTTATTTTTTACACACACACACACACATATATATATATATATATATATATATATATATATATATATGTCATTCAAACATAAGGATGTTTCATTGAATAACTTAGACGTATTATGTCTAGTTATTTTAGGTTTATTCCTTTAAGTCCATGTTATACCGGAACACACCTATTCTATTGTTAATAGACTCTCCCACTTAAAATAATAGTAGTAGTAGCAGTCGCCAGAGCTCAGTGAGTTGAGTGAGTCAGTCGATGTCGGACATTGAAGTATTAACAAACCACAACTAGATTGCTGCGTTATTAACTATTATTTTCAAGTTCCTAACGTTTTGTACGTTGAACCTAATTTAGGACCGACTTAGTGAAATACAAGCCTCTACTGTGAAAACTACTCTGCAACAGTCCATGAATTAATTTTTTCATAAGTGTAGAAAATCGATTAAGGAAATTCAATTTTTTTTCTTTTAAATAATTTTATTTTTCCAAGTACTTTCAATCTTATCTTAGTCCATCTTCAGGGATTACGAATCCATGGATGCGTTATGCGTTAACACCGTATATCCAAAATATTATTTTACCACTATGTAAGGGAGGTAACTATGTGATTTTTCAAAAGATTTTTATTTATAGTATTTTAATTTAGTATTTTTTATATAACACATTGCTGCTACAAATATTTGTTGCTATACTCGTAGCTGATTTTTGGCCGCAAATCCTTTATATAAATGGCTTCCGGAATTTTAAATTTTTCTTATTTATTATCTTGCTGAAGCCCTGATGTATTTTCGACTAATATCTTTTATATAAGCTTAACGGATGAACCGTGATGAAATCGATCATAAACGTTATGAATAAATATGTTCATCATTAATTAATCATAGGTAAGGATCGGAAGATTATGAACGATTGATATAAAGTTCAAATATATATATATATATATATATATATATATATATATATATATATATATATATATTATAAATTATTTGATTTAAAATATGGTTATTTTCGCTACACAGTTCCAACCATGTTTCAAAAATAGAAGCTAAAACCCCTAATTTTATTTTTTGCAATTAAATTAAAAGCATTAGTTCCATTTCATCTTCAAGCGAATTTTTATTTATATATATATATATATATATATATATATATATATATATATATATATATAAATATATATATATTATTCCAGGATCATTTTCCAACTTATTCAAAATGATCTCCACCCCATCTAACCTTCTTTCTGTCCTGGGGTAACACGTTGCCATCCACGTTTCGCGTACGATTTCATTTTCAAGTCTTTTTTTCACTGCTCGTTGGACGGTCATAGGTGGAACTCCTCTCTCATGGGTCAAACGTCATTTGGATTGCGCGGGATCTTTTCTAATCGATCTTTTCAGCTCTAAATTGAAATAACGATCACTGTTGTGACCTCCTGATTTAGTTTTCTATTGTTCCGTCTTTTTTAAACTTAGACACCAATCTCTTAGTCGTTCTTAAATGGATTTGAAGATGGAAGCCAGAGTATGAACGTTGACACAATTACTGAAGTCCTGAATGTTGATTTTCCTCTCACCATTGCTCATTTAAGAAGACGGTGTAGCTGACACAAAACGATTTTAACCTGTTCTTTTTCTAGCTCAATAAATCAAAGTGTATTTCAGTGATTCGTACAAATAGTGTCAATATGGGTAAACGTCGTTTCTGAAAACCTAAAAAAAATCAATTAGTTTAGAGGTTGCTTAGATATTAAAGATTCTGTGGGATGGACAAACTATGTTACAGGATTTGGACAGTTTTGATCATACTGGATACATATATATATATATATATATATATATATATATATATATATATATATATATATATATATATATATATATATATATATATATATATATATATATATATATATATATATATATATATATATATATATATATATATATATATATATATATATATATATATATATATAGATAGAGAGAGAGAGAGAAAGATGGGAGATGCAGAACCATTTGGAGAGTCGGATATATTTATATATTTAATAATACAAATATATATATATATATTTATACATACACACATATATATATATCTACACATATATAAGTTTTACTTCTTACTTTAGTATCTACTTGCTAATGACATTTCATATATATATATATATATATATATATATATATATATATATATATATATATATTCAGGCGTAACTCAACGTATGTATGAACTGGCGACTAGTTTGTCGTTATTAGCAGAAAATTGATCTTAAGTTCTACTTAGTACTTAACAATATTTATCTTTGTCATAAATATCCACAATTGAATTATGTGCATTGACAGTTAAGATTATGTTGAAAATAAATATTTATGATGTCATATTACATGTCTTCGTTTTGGTCATTAAGATACGTACTGGTCGATACGCTTGTGTGTGTTATGTCATGAATCACTTGTTTGTCTATATGTCTGTGCATACGCGTGTGTGTAGTGCGCGCCATGCAACTGAGGGCCAAACCTAAAGGGTAAGCCAATGAGAAAATGAAAGTGACTTTTCGTGATAAGCGTCCTTTTGAGAACGAAATGCGTCATCAAGTTTTTTTCCAATTTGTCATTCACTTACCCACTATCTTTCTGTGCATCTATCTATCTATCTATCTATCTATCTATCTATTCTTAATCTGTCTATATCCATCTCAGTTTGTGTATACCTATCAACACTTTTTATAGATTTATCTATCTATCGATAGCAATATGCCCATCGCTCTCTCTTTTCTCTTTCTCTCTCTCTTTTTTTCGCTATCTCTCTCTCTATATATATATTATATATCTATCGATATCAATGTTTTCTCTCTCTCTCTCTCTCTCTTTCTCTCTCTCTCTCTCTCTTCATATATCCATACATAGCTACTTATATCTACCTGTTCATTTGTTTTGTTTTTTCAGTCTGTTTAAATTTTTGATTTTCTCTGTCTATTACAGTCTGTTAATATCTATTTATCTATGTATGTCATTTTGTTTCTTTCTATCTACCTGTCTCAGTCTGTTCATATATATCTAATTCATTTTGCTAATATCTATCTATCTATCTCTCTATCTATCTATCTATCTGTCTGTCTGTCTGTCTGTCTGTCTTTTTATTTCCTTTTTTCTTTTACACGTATCGAGTTTTTTTAACATGGCAGCTTCAATTCGAACAGGAGCAGACAGGTTAACGTATTGCCCAGTTCAGACTCCTCCCTTGTCTTTTGAACTGGTGTGATTGTTTATAACTTGTTTCCTGTTTAGGATTAGATTTCCGGTTCTTTATGAATTCTACTTTAACTTTACACTTCAAACGTTTTCGCCTAAACAATTAAAATTCTATCATTTTTTTTTTCTTCAAACGGAGTAGATATCTTCTGATTCACTCTCTTCGCCCCGCTCTTTTGTACAGGAGTAGAGGTTTATCCCTTGTTCCCTGTTTATTATTTGGTTTCCGTTTCCTTCTAATGTATTTTCTTTCTATTTTACTTCCCGTAGCCCCCTTGCGTCTTAGTTGAGTTGTTGTCTTGTCTGTAGTGAATTAATTTAAAAAAAAAAAATTGCTTACAACTCTAACCGCCAACCACAACAACTCGGAAAAAGCTACCAGCTCTTTTGTAATCAATGTCAAGAATGTGCAGAAATCTGTCACCGTGACCAAGAAAAAGCAGCCGGACATAATAAGGATGACAGAATTCGATTAGTAGGTCCAGCTCATCATCAACCCCCAGCAATTAATGATGACCATCAGTGAGCGGTGCAAAGCGGTGATTTCCGCTCTCAGACGACAGCTACAAATCCTACATGATGAGGAGACGACAGTTCTTGTCCAACAAGGCCAGTGAGAAATGCACCGTTCTACTACGTTACCTGCTCTCACTCTTCATCAAATAGAAAAAAAAACTTCGTCAATGACAAGAAAGCGAACTGGCAGCGAAGACCCCAGCGAGTTGCCAACATTAGTTCACACGAATTTCACGTTGTTTGCAGGCGATGCCACTTTTCCTTGCGGCATTTCAGGATCAATGCTGCAGCCTACATTGGTGTTGAGAACGATACTCAAACTCTGGATAGAGAGTATGTCCCAGAAGAAGTCTTACGTATTCCAGAAAGACTCTAAACCCTTCTACATGAGCCAGAAGATACTGTCCGAGAATTTCTACGACGTTATCACCCCTAATATGTGACCTCATTTTCTCTCCTGTTTTGGATCACCTATACTGTTACGTCAGGTGCAGAATGTTGCTGTGCTAGATGTGGATATCCGGTTAACATGCACGCCCATAATTCTGCTGCAAACCCCGGGTTTCATTTGATCGTATATATGCTATGACTGCTGTGAGGTCTGTCACTGCTGCCCTTACTAGATGGTCATCCAGAACCCGATCTACGCATATAGGGATGTTTATTTGATCTGTTACCAACGCATCACGTTCAACAATTCTCAGATATGAATATGCATCCAATCGATGTTCTACAATTAGATCTCCCACAGACAACTCTAACTAAAGAAAATAAGCGTGTGGTAGAATACAGGGTGTCCATAAAGTTCGGGTACATTTTAAAAAATTATAACTTTATTTGTATTTGTGATAGAAATAATTTGTAAAAAGGATTAGAAAGAAGTAAATCTATGTTTTTAAGGTTTTATTGAAATTTTATTTAAGTTTCCACATGTCCTCCATTATTAGCAATACAAAGGGTAATACGATTTTGCAGTTCACGGAAAACATTGGCTAAATGATTTACAGTAATGCCTGAAATCATATTAGTTATTTTAGCTATACTTTAAACTAGGTACATTAAACTTTATAACATTTTTTACAGATTATTTCTATCACAAATACAAAAAAAGTTATAATTTTTTAAAGTGCACACGAACTTTATGGACACCCTGTATATGCTTTTAATAAGACTTAGAACTACTTTACTACACTGGACATTTTCGCTGTACGTGTCAACTTCTAAAAATGATACACTGATATGAGTGCTTAGACTTGTAACATTTTATCAATATATATATTACTCAACAGGATGTATATATATTGTATTCACGCTAATATCGGCGTCTTCTTTCGAAAATGACTTTCCCCCAGCGTACTATTTTTCCGTTCGTGCTATTAAAGTTATTATTGTAATTATACTTTTTGTAGATATGTTGTCCGGAGAACTGGGCGCATCTATTTTTTTTTTTTAAATAATTTCACCCAAGGCAGTAAAACCACTAAGACACAAAGGGTTACTGAGTGTGAAAGAATAAGAAAATAGAGAAACTGTAACACGAGAAAATGGCTTTCTTCCTGGACGAAAACGGATTCGGACGTGTCTCACATGTAAAATATTTCCCAAAAGAAAATGGCGGATTTAGGAAAATACAAAATTTAGGAAATTTACAAAAAAAAAAAAAAAAAAGATAGTACTCGGAGTCGGATACTTTAGCGAGACTCTCTTTCCATCTATGCAAATTTGACCTGTTAGTCAACCTATAAAAAGTGCTTAAAGAGGCGACAGAGTGGTGCAACTGCGGTAGCGAAGAGGAGGTATGTATTGTTGGATTGGTCGACTGAGGGAAACGAATTAGGGAACTTTATTACGAGTAAGAAGAAACTGACTACATAAACATTGTTAAAGAGCGAACACAAAAAAAGAAGAGGAATCAATAAAACAGTAGATAACGATTGACATTGCATTTAAACTTTTGAAGATTGCCAGGAAAGCAAGAAGCGTTAAGAGAGTTTCACAAGCGAGAAGTGCGAGTTAACATAGAACGGTTAAATCTCGCCAATCCAATTGTAAATTGATGAGACTTTGCTGCCAATCTAGTATTGAGCTTAAACTCATAGAGTCTAGTTACCATAGCCAAGAGTTAATCCAAACATTTATCATGAAAAAGCGCAGAGAAACTATATTACGGCGGTGTGAAAGTAACTGAAGCCGAAACGTCAGATCATGACCAATAATATTGCTGATACTTTACTGTGAAGCAAAATTCGCGCACCATAAAGGGTTAATGGATAGCTCGAAGAGGTCCTGTTGAGTGGCCAACGGGGTCATCAAAGACCCTTTGATTTGGGCCATTTGAAATCAGTTGTTTATCAGACGTGCCCAGTAAATATTGAGGAACTTTTTTTTCTGGTGATGTCAAACCTGATAATGGCTAGCTTGTTGACATCGATGTTTGGTCTGATTAAGCGGTGTTTTTCTCACCAGAAATTATAGGCGGCTTTTATCGTCGTCGGATTTATCGTAGCGGTGTAAAAGGCTATCATTACTTCAATATACTCTTCCGTAGATCATTTATTTATTGTTCTTTTTGTCGGTTTTTTTTTAAATTAATATAGAGAGCTGCTGTGAAAGACAATAATTAAATATGGATGCAGTAAAACTTTCCGACATGTTAATGAATCAGGCAGTCACAGAATTGTAATTTTTTTTTTTTTTTGAAAAAGGACATTTTGAATTGTGCATATTACAGTTAAGTAGCTTGTAAATAAAATGTTCATGTGTGATTATACTTTCCCTATGGTGTGCGACTTTTGTCTCACTCTGTTTAGCAGGAGCAGGAGACAAGCAATTTCAAGATTACAAGACTCGTTGCGAAAGTGACCATTTACATTCTTGTAGCATCTTAAACACACTCAGTTTTCCACATTGGTTATTTATATTCCTTCTGCATCGAGGATGTCGCGCGCCATGTTAAAATTATTTGAATCGAATCCTGCACCCTGAAAGTCAACAATCTCAATTTATACGAATTCTTGTATGTTTTTCATAAGTCTAGACGCATTAGCATTATTCTTCTCTTGAATTCTTCATTCAAATTTCTTTTGTCATATCATATTGAATAATGGTTTCAATTAATTGTCTAAATTCAACTTCAGTTCACAATACACACACAAACACGCACGCATATATATATATATATATATATATATATATATATATATATATATATATATATAAAAGACATTTTAAGTTTATACATTCTTTTTATAGATACAAATATTTAAGTAAATGCTCTTCGACAGGAATCGAACCTGTATCCTATACGGAACCGTCATATAGCCTGACGTGCATTTAACCGAGGAGCGTTCGCTTAGCAAGGTCGAATTGACTGCCTTTAAACTTCAATCTTCCATGAATCTCTCACGTACATTCATATTTGCTCAAAGCGTAAACAAATGTAAACAAATGACGTTACACATTATGAAATGGACAAAGTCCGACAATTATTTTTAATTAAATTCTCTGTCTATAATAAACAGTGTTAAACAACATTTACCGGCCTGAATGTCCGAGAAATCTTCATAGAAAATATTCGTCCTCCGAATCTATGAAGATTTCTTTTTCTATTTCATAATGTGTGACATCATTTGTTTACATTTGGATACGCTTTGAGCACATATGAATGTACGTGAGAGATTCATGGAAGATTGAAGTTTAAAGGCAGTAAATTCGACCTTGCTAACCGAACGCTCCTCTGATCCCAAATAGGTTAAAGACACGTCAAGCTAAATGACGGTTCTGTATAAGATACAGGTTCGATTCCCGTCGGAGGACGAATATTTTCTATGAAGATTTCTCGGACATTCACGCCAGTAACTGTTGTTTAATACTGTTTATTATAAACAGAGCATTTACTTAAATATTTGTATCTATAAAAAGAATGTATAAAAATAAAAATGTCTTAAAAATAATTATCGGTCTTTGTCCATTTCATAATATATATATATATATATATATATATATATATACCGTCCTGGGTATGAAGATAAACTACACCTGCGCCCTGGGTAAGGCGATAAACTACATCCAACAGCGAGGCCTCTGGTCAGGAGGTTTTGAGGAGCGTGGAACCACCTCTTAATTTCTGGTGTTCCCAGGTCCACCCTGACCCGGAGTGGTAGCATCTGTAAGGGACCCAGTTATGAGCAAATAGTTGACCCTCCCACATACAAAACTGGGATCAAACCACTATGAAAGCTTAAAAATAGGTTTTAATACCGGCAATACATTTTTGTTAAAAAATTATTACCATCAATACATTATTACCAGCAATGTATTTTTGAAGAAAAATTATTACCAGCAATTGATTTTGAGAAAAAAATATTAGCAGCAATATATTTTTGAAAAAAATTATTACTAGCAATAAAAATCTTGTCGGCATTAAATAACCCATTGAGGTTGGTATACCGTAAAATTTCTACTCACGCACGTTGACCCAGATTAATATAATCTAGCCGTGACCGGGACCACAAATATAGTAGTGATATTATTTATTTTTATTAATATTTTTACTATATTCTTTTTGCTATCTTTACTATACAACTATTACTATTGTGAGACTGTAATGTATTTTATTATTTTCATTATTGTATTATTACCATTTTTCTATATAACCATTACTATTGTTTTTATCTTATTTTACCATTAGTCTTACTACCGTTTTATTATGTTTATTTCTTCATTTATTTTTATCTATTATTTTTTTCTTATTTATTTACATATTTATATGTTCTTATTTATGTTTTTTTTTATTTTACTTTCATTGATACGTATTATTTTTATTAGTATATTAATTTTAATTTTATTAAATTTATTTAATTTTATCACTGCATATTTTATCATTAATGTCACTACTTTTATTCAGTTTATTGATATTAATAATATTATTTTTTTCTTCATTGATTTTCATGCAAAAAATAGAGTTACCCTCCTTGATTCCCAAACGTTTTTCCTTTTGCTAACAACAGCGTCTGCTTTTACGTTAGAAATTATAATTCTTACTCCCAATTTTGTTTTCAATCTTAAATGTTAATATGGGCCAAAATTCTAAAATCTAAAATTAAACTACAATTTATTAAAATAATTAACAACAATAATAATCCACTCTAACAATAAAATATCTCGCGACAACCATAAATATTAAATAACTGGTGTTAACCCAAAACATTGCACCCGAAGATTGAAGAGGGTATGTAATTCCGTGTTGTACAATCAATGTAGGGTATTATTTTTAATAAATGTGGCATTCACGAGATCAAAGTTGTGGTTGAACTGATTCCTATGTATGACGAATGCATTTAACAAGTTGTTGTGTATGATGTTCCTTTTATGTTCAGGGTTACGTTTTTTTTTTTAAATTTCTGCAAGATTCCCTAATGTATTCTGTGGAACAGTTCTTGCAATATATTTTGTATATACCTGCTTTAGAATTATGCTTCTGTCCTCAGTGTATGCTCCACGTGTGACCTTGTGTAACACCATGTATTTTTTAAAATAATATTTAAATATATATAAAATAGATATAAGATCCGAACTTCGTCAGTGTTGCCATTTATATATTGTAGGAATAATCTACATTCTAACATTTTTCTTTTCTTTGCTGATAATTGTTAGTAACTTGAAATTTCTCAACCCATGTCTCGCACAGAAGAAACTTCAACTGGAAGAAAAAGGAAAATAAACTCTGTTATGTCAGAAATTAGAGGTTGTTGAAATAATTGGACGAAGCTCCTAATTTGTTGAATTTTCAAATTAACAAACAAGGATTTTAGAATCTGAACGAAACACTAAAACTTGCTCTTGAAGATGATCCACTGAAAACTCTCAGTTTGGATGACTTAAAAGAATGGATAAATAAAGAAGGCTAATGAATTACAAATGAATTCAACGTTAGAATCGCTTCAAAATGATTTGGATTGTCAATAAATAAAAGAAGAATCAAATGCTTCTGATAATGTTGAAAATATGAAGGATGATCAAGAAGACTGAAACTCAGTAGAGAAAGCTATTAATGAGGTTATCAAATTCATGAAGAAAAAAAAATCTTCGTTCAATAGTACAGTATGTATATGTGCATTTAATTTGCAGCAATTCCTTACTTAAAAAAAAATAGAACAACGAAAAGCCAGCAAAATAAGAAAATAAATATGATAGTTAGATCCAATGACAGGACCCAAAATAGTGTGAGTTCAATACCCGGTTAAGGCAGTGGAGAACCTGCAGAGGGGAACTAACAGGAGATAACTGGTAATTGACATCCATTAGACATGGCTCATGAAACTAAAACAGTCTACTTCAGTGAGCGAAATAAAGCGTTCAGTTCGTCATTCCAACCACCTGAAGAAGGTCGGAGCGTACAACGGCCGAAACGTTGTAATAAATATGCCGACAAAGATGATGACAATAATCCGAATAATTTAAATAATGTACATAAGACCTCATCTCAGAAATATAGAGAGAAATTAATGGTTGTTGAAATAATTGGACGAAGCTCCTAATTCGTTGAATTTTCTAATTAACAAACAAGGATTTTAGAATCTGAACGAAACACTAAAATTAGTGCTTGAAGATGATCCACTGAAAACTCTCAGTTTGGATGACTTACAAATGAATTCAACGTTAGAATCGCTTCAAAATGATTTGGATTGTCAAGAAATAGAAAAAGAATCAAATTCTTCTGGTAATGTTGAAAATATGAAGGATGATCACGAAGATTGGAACTCAGAAGAGAAAACTATTGATGAGGTTATCAAATTTATGAAGAAAAAATCTTTGTATAGGTGTACAAAATGTACAATTGCGCGTAATTTTCAGAAATGACTTACTTTAAAAACTAGAACAGTGAAAATGAAGCGAAATAAGAAAAGAAATAAAAAAAACAATTGAAAATAAAACTTATTGAGCATTAAACATTGCAAATTAATATTTACTTTTGAGAGACACTTAATTTTTCGTATATTGTGATAAGCTCTTGTCTTTTGTTAATTTATATTAATATTACACATGCTACATTATATCCGAACCTATCTTCATAGCCGAAGTTCGGAAATGAGGACTTCTACTCTCGATGTTGATTTAATTGATATATATCGTAAAATAGATATTAGACAATTTGACGAAATTTCTTACTTTAAAATCAGCCAAGCATATCCTCTCTTTGGAGACCAAGTTAATTCATTGTGCCGGGGAATGAAACTAAATCGAAACGTTCAAGGGTTAATTGAGGATCAGTTTTTGGAAGAATGAACAAATAACTCGTCGTTCATTCACCTCTCGCCATTCCATACAGCAACAAAAAATAATCAAGAGGCTATTATTATGTCTATTTAAAGGACCATAGTTATGGCAGACAATGAATCTTAATTAAGTTTTCTTTCCTTATGCTTCTTATTTCTGACTGGGGTCAACACAAGTTCTTTGGAAACGGTTTGAAAATGGGGATTTCGATCTGTTTTCTTTTTTTATATGTTGTTGTATATTTGTCTATCTTTTTTAAAGACTTTTCTTCTTTCTTTATCTTTCTTCAGCTGGCTATCTTATTTTTCTTGCATTTTTGCTTTGTTTAAATCTTTTCTCTTCTCTTCTCTAATCTTATATTTGTTTTAGATTTTGTCTTTTTTGTTATTTTTACTTTTCATTTATTCTTCTCCCTTTATTTTCTTTAGTAAAATATTTTCTTCCCTCCTCGGCTCGCTATATGAGAGCGAGAGAGTGAAGAAAATATATGTCTCTATAAGTATGTTCATTGTCTATCTATCTATCTATCTATCTATCTATCTATCTATCTATCTATCTATCTATCTATCTATCTATCTATTCTGCTCATATCTATCTATCTATCTATCTATCTATCTATCTATCTATCTATCTATTCTATTCTATTCTATTCTATTCTGCTCATAACTATCTATCTATTCTATTCTATTCTGCTCATATCTATCTATCTATCTATCCATCTATCTATCTATTCTATTCTATTCTGCTCATATCTATCTATCTATCTATCTATCTATCTATCTATCTATCTATCTATCTATCTATCTATCTATCTATTTCAGTTTCTATATGTCTATCATTTGTTAATACATGTCTACCTAATATTTCCCGTCCTGGGTATGCCGATAAACTACACCCGCGTCCTGGGTAAGACGATAAACTACGTCCAACAACAAGGCCTCTGATCAGGATGTTTTGAGGAGCTCCCAGGTCCATCCTGACCCGAGATGGTAGCACCTGTTAGGGCCCCAGCTATGGGCAAATAGTTAACCCCAAAACTAGAGCAAAAACACTATGAAATTGTAAAAATAGGTTTTAATACCAGAAATACTTTGTAAAAAATTATTACCGATAATAAATTTTTGAAGAAAACTAATATTGCCAGCAATACATTTTTGGAAAAAAATTTACATACAATACGTTGTTGAGAAAAAAAAAATTAAAAAGAATATTAGCAGCTATCCATTATTGAGGAAAAAAAATTACCAACAATACTTTTTTTTAAATAAAAATTATTACCAGCAATACATCATTAAAAAAAAATTTACCAGGAATATATTTTGAAGGAAAAATATTACCAGAAATAGATTTTGACAAAACAAAATATTACAAAAAAAAAAAAAAGTAATTGTCGGCATTAAATAACCCATTGACGGTGATATACCGTAAAACAAAAGAAACCAAACCAAACCTAATATTTCCTAATACGTGTCTTCCTATTATTATCTACTTATCTATCTCAATTTGTTAATATATATCTACCTATCATTTACTGATATATGTGTGTGCCTATCTATCTCTGTTTATATATGTCTACCTATCATTTCCTAATATGTGTCTGCATATCATTTGTTAATATGAATGTATGTATGTATCTCTATCTGTTTATATGTCTAGCTATCATTTCATATGTCTACCTATTTTCATTTGCTAATAAATATCTACCTACCTATTTATCAATCTTTCTATATATCTACCTCATTTTGTTTATATATATGTCTAGCTATCATTTCCTAATATATGTCTATCTATGATTATCTATTTTTATCTTATTAGATTGCAATCTTATTTCTGTTTTATTTTCATTTTTTGAAATTTTTCTTCAAGTTTTATTAGTTTTCGTTTATAATAAACAGTATTGACAACATTTACCGGCCTGAATGTCCGAGAAATCTTCATAGGAAACATGCGTCCTCCAACAGGAATCGAACATGTATCCTATTCGGAACCGTCGTATAGCCTGACGTGATTTTACCGATTTCAGGCCGGTAAATGTTGTTAATACTGTTTATTAAAAACAGAGCATTTACTTAAATATTTGTATCTATAAAAAAAGAATGTATATACATAAAACTGCCTTAAAATAATTGTCGGACTTTGTCCATTTCATAATATATATATATATATATATATATATATATATATATATATATATATATGTATGTATGTATGTATGTATATGTGTGTGTGTGTGTGTGTGTGTGTATTGCGAAATAGTATGAACAAGTTCATTGTCATCTTAAGGAATTATCCTAATTAATATCTGTACTTGCAAAGCGTTGGTTACAGACAATAAACACCAATGTAAATGATTGATTTGTACCAGATTATTTTGAATTCACATCTTTCAGTGTCCCGCTGGCAGGCTTCTAATCTTTCATGGTTTCATGGCCAATTTGTGTGTTTCATCAGTCCATTACTATTACAATAATATTGCATTTAGCGTGATTGATATTACCATAGGATATTGTGAAAGATTTTTGAGGTATATCATGCTGACTACTGTTCTGAGTTACCTTTTAATTTCCTATGTAAATATCAGTTTATCTCCGTTCAATAAAACCGCCTGTCGGCTGAGGCATCCGAATACGCTGACTGCACATCTGCAGAGGAGTAAGACCCCCCCCCCCAACAAATGAGCCTTCCTGAGTAAAACGACAAAACGACATCCGACAGCAAGGCTTCTGATCGGGAAGTTTTGAGGAGCGTGGAACAACCTCTTAAATGCTGCTGTTCCCAGGACCACGCTGACCCGGTGTGTTAGCACCTGTTCGGGTCCCAGCAATGGGTAAATAGTTAAACCCAAACTGGGGTAAAAACGCTATGAAAATGTAAAATTGGATATTGATACCAGAAATACATATCTGTAATGGGTTTTGTAGGCAAGGAATTTTTTAAAGTTGTTGCCGGCAGTGCGTTGTTGCCAGCGATGCATTTTTTAAAAGAATATTACCAGCAATAAAAATCCTGTCGGCATTAAATAACCCATCGAGGTTGATATGCCGTAAACCAAACCAAACCAACCCTTTCAATAAAAACACGAAAAGAGTCAAAATTCTTCGGAATTATCCGATATTAATAGAGCTGTGTATTTGATAGACCTTTTCGTTATGACGGTCAAAGGATTCACAAACAAAAGAATTCCTTGCCAGAACAGATACCAAAAATGAAATGGTCGATTCCACACCTTGGATTACAATTTTCTACTGAAGTTAATATGGTTATCCGAAATTCCATACCCCGCCAGCTGGTGTAATCAGTTCAGTCATTGATGACTATTTTACGGCAGCCAGTCTCTGTGAAACGCATCTGTCTCCACAAAACGCCGTCAATCGAGGTATTATTTATGAAAGTTTCAGAAATAGTGTCCGGTTTGATGGGGGTTCAGGAAATGCCACCACTTCATACAGTAATCATATCGCCCTACTTGGTGTAACGAATGTGGTCATTTGGATTAACCAGACCGCTGCCGGGCTCATAACCATTGCTCTGGACATATTGGACAATGTAACTGCCGTGCTTGCGGCAATTCTAGACCCCGTTATAAGTGGAAGTTTCTTAGTTGGCGTTGCTATCATGATCTTCCTTGGATTACCCACCATGCAGAAGGTCCGGTTAAATGCCCGATACACGCTTATTTTCGACACGGCAATAGAATACGACTCGATATTGCCCAGATGGATTGAACATTCTCCAAACGCCATCAATACAGGGAAATATGATGTCGATCAATGTCTTAAAGTTATTTTGGGAACTCAGATATTTGTCAATGGAAAATTAGATAACGCTATTCCAGATACAGCCAATGAACGGAGAATGGAACACTTGGATCATGGCGCCAAAGATGTTACTCCAGATCATCAGGATGAAAAATTCAATGTAATATATGAATTTCCACCTCGGCAAAACATTCAACGAAGGCAAAGAAACATAATCAAATATATGCCTTTTTTTCCCGCCTTATGAGGATTTAGCGCCTAATTCTGGGAACCTGACACTGAAAGTCTTAGCTTTAAAATAAACTCGTACAAGTCAATCATTTCCGTTAGTGTTTATTGTTCTCCGTTTTAAAGATATGTAACCAACACTTGAAGGATACAGCTATTATTTGGGATAATTCCTTTAGATGACAATGAATTTGTCTAATATCATTTAACAAAATATTTTTGAGGGAATTATTACTGTCTGTTGTCTTGTCGAATATAAGTCTTTTTTTAAAAATGTTTTTAAGTGAATGGCTCTACGCTCAACCATTCTACTCCGAGCATGAGACGCTTTTCAAATCGGGGTTTTCATTTCTTTTCACGACCACTGGTCCTTAAACTAACTATTTCTATTTTTTTTAAAATCATTTCACTCCAAGAAAGGGAACAAAGTCACTAAGGCACAACGGGGTTATTCTATGTAAAAGTTTAAGGAAAAGAGAAAGTAGATAACGACTGACATTATATTTAGATTTTTTAATCATTTCACCTCAAGCAAGGCAGTAAAGCCACTAAGACACAAGAGGTTAAAGAGTGTGAAAGAATAAAAGAAGAAAAACATTTTTAAGGAGCAGGAACAATGAAACGAGAGGACTCAAGAAAACAGTAGCTAACGATTGACGTTGCATTAAAATTTTTAATCATTTCACCCCCAAAAAGGCAGTAAAGCGTCTAAGATACAATAGGTTACAGAGTGTGAAAGAATAAGAAAAAAGAAACAGATATTTTTAAGGAGAGGGAACAATAAAAGAAGAGTAATCAATAAGACGATTGATTTCGATTGAGATTACATTTAAATTTTTGAAGGTCAATGTTGGCTAGGAAGCAAGAAACTGGAGGAGAGTTCTGTGACGTCCCTAAACACAGCCTTCGCTCGCTCCTCGCTGCTTTGTTCGGGTGTCGCTCTCCAAACGTGACATCCGCCTGTCGCGTCAGTCGTGTTGTCTCGTCCTGTGACGACCAACTGGCTTGGTATCGGTCACGGCACCCAAATGTGACGTTCTAACCTTTTGGTGATTCGGATGGGAATCTGGTTAGATTCGATATCAGCCTCGTCGTTCCCAATTCGCTTCCAACGCCTGGTTACCAAAGTAACTGCGTTGATCCCCAGTCCGCCTACCCACGTTGTGAATCGATCTTAGGCAGTCGAAATCAATCAGTCGTTGGGGCCGCAATGCAAGTTGGGTCCAAGGGGTGTGTATCGCACAAATACGTATAAAAGAAATAAAAATGATAACTCAAAGGTTCAAGGTATCAAAGAAAAGGATAACAAACTTTATGTCTAGTTGTTGGATACATAGGACTGCGTCTATTTCCCGACCCGTTCTATGGATTGTGACACGTTGTTTTCCATTAGGCGAGTTTTAACACTTCAAGTTGTTTGCTCTTTAAGAAATTGGTTTTTCGGTGTGTCTTCGGGCGAAAGTCGAAAAAAAACTTATTTTGGTGGTCTGGATCTAAGTCGCTCTTCAAAATAATTGTTCTTGGATTGAAGATGGGTCCGGAAATTGCGCGAATCTTGGTCAGCCGATGCGAGGCTTGCTTCAACTGAGCACTGAGACTGACTCTGGGAACTGTCTCCCCGAACTCAACTCTGGAACTCTCCGCTGGAACTCTCTGCTGGAACTCTGTGTTGAACTGATTTTCGCTCGCTGCGACTTCGCTTATATGGACGCCGACAAAAATCGGGGTGGGTTTGTCGGGACGCCGACAAAAATCGGGGTGGGTTTGTCGGCGCCGGGGGGTTCCTCGATAATTCTAAATACCTATCCACTTCTTTTATTTTTGGTTAGGAATTTTCCACTTTCCATTTTTTGGGGGGAGTCTTCTCTTGCTCCCACCTTCTCACCATGCTTCAGGGGGGGTGTCGGCTGTCCTCCCCACTTCCTTGTGGCGACCTCTCATACCCATCCTCTAAATGGGCGGTGACAACTTCCTCCTTGCGTCACGTGATCACCACTCGGCCAATGATGTCCAGCCGGTTTTGTTTCAGGGAAAAAAAATATCTTGTTTAAAAAAAAATTATCTTTTTCTTTTCCTTTTCTTTCTTTTAATCGCAGTTCTCATTTTCTCTGGCCGCAAATAGAACAATGCGATCGGTGGTGGTCATAACTCTTGTTCTCACCTGGACTTTGTCAGTCAGTTATCGCTAATTATCAGAATGGGTGGTCTATTTGACACAACACAATCGTCCGTCGCCTCGAAAAAAAACATTTCCATGGTTCCATTCATTCTTTGGTGCACATTTCTGATAACATAGTTTTATTATCGCAGCTAAAGATGTCTTGTCAAAAGAAAAACGGTCAGTCGCCACCTCGTTTGCGGCTTTGACACAATTAATGTTTCATATCTATCCAAAGCCCTGTAGTTCACCTGTTTGTTGTCAATTATCAAAATAACATTTTCAATTGGATTTTTTTTTGGCTAGTCGGTCTGTGGTTTGCTTAATAAGATGTTTTCCCGCATTAGCGGTTTGTTTATGTATCCCCGATAACAAAGCTCGTCGCCAGAACACAACGATTCCTTTATCCACTTAGAATTTTTCTGCCATTGTAATGACAGTTTTTGCCATTTGCTACTTATCAAAATATCCTTTATCCATTGTCTCTTAGTCGTGGGTGTCCTACTTATCCTCCACGTTTGGGTCTCGCCTCTCTTTTCCTTT